TACAACATTGTTAACCCAAACATATTGACATATTGAGTAAATGATTTTGAAAAAGTGACATTTTTGAAAAGTGGCATTTCTAAAAAAATTTTATTATGGAAAAACAATAAACCCTTCTCTGAATATTTTTATATTAATTTAAATAAAATTACTCATATGATATTTTATTATAAAATATGACAAATTTATTTGAATTAATTTAATTATTCAGAATTTAATTAATGTTATAATTTACAACTGAATTAATTTAGATAATAATATGTCATGCCGATTAACATAAAAATTAAATTAATTAGTTAAACACGTTGACAAAGTAAAAAATCAACCAACCAAAATATAAATTGATAGTTTAAAATAAATCGATGGCCAAAAAAATTTGAGTCAGCAAATTAAAAAAATAAGTCAGTGGTTTAAATAAGTCGATAACATAAAATATCAATCAAACGAAATATAAGTCAACAGTGTAAAATAACTCGACGAACTGAAAATTAAGTTGATCACGATAAAAAATAAACCAATGGTTAAATAAGTCAACAAAGTAAAAAATCAAGCAAACGATAATATATATGTCAACATTTTAAAATAAGTCAAAAAAATTGAAAATTAAGTAAACGAAACAAAAAAAAAAGTTAATAGTTAAACAAGTCGACAAAGTAAAAAATTAAGCAAACGAAATATAAGTCAAAATTTAAGAATATAAGTCGAGGAAGTTAAATATTAAGTCAACAAACATAAAGAAATAAATCAGTAGTATAAAAAAATCAACAAAGTAAAAAAAAAATCAAACAAAATATAAGCCAAGTGTGTAAAATGAGTCAATCTTTATTTTTTAATTTCATAAAAAGATAAGCTTTTAAATAATGATTTATTAATAAAATATTTTTAAAAATAAAATGTAAAATACCAAATTAAATTTTGAGTTTAAGTTTAATAATTTCAATGATTTTAAATTATAAAGTAAGTTAAATTTGTATAGGGGTATATATACATACTTTTATATAACAAAAAGTATAGTTTTCCAATTTTTATATTAAATATACTTTTCAAGTTTTCATTAAAATTTAGGGTAGTTATCAAAATCTCCCTTTAAAAATCTTAAAAATTGATTTTCATATTTATATTTGAACTAGATTTACTCATATTTTTTTAATAATATTTGATTCTTTTTCTGTTTTGAATCAGCATATTATTTTTTTTCAAAGGAAAAACGAATTTCTGGAAAAGATTGTTGAAGTTTTATTGATTTGTGAGAAGATTGAGAGAGTACAAAATTGTTTAAATAAAACTGAAATATGTTGAAGATTTAGGTATGTAAACTTAATTTTATTCAAACTTTCATTTTGTTTCAACTGATACCATAACTAGTTACAAAATATATGAAAAAATAGTTGGCGACCTTTGAGCTAAAATAAGATGAAGGGAAAGATTGAGATCAATCAAGATAAGAGCTCTTTTCTCAAGAAGCTTGAGCAACCTTTACAAATACATCTTCAAGAGTTGTGTCTGCAAGTCCCCAAGCAACCACCGGAAACATCATCTTCGCCTTCTCCACCGCCTGAAACACCTTAGCAATCTTCACCTCTTGCTTTGGGAGCTCAAATTTCTGGGTTCCCGCGGTTCGATATATCTTCTTTACATTTTCAGAGATATTATGCACCAATTGCTCCACCTCTTGCTCGTGTTCCTCTGAGGTTGTCACAGTCAATACATAGGATCCTCCATATCTACCCTTCAACTGTTATAAAGGTTTCAATATAAGCTTTCTTCTTTAGATTTTCTGATGAATTTTGATACAAATTGAGCTCAAGTTCATGTTTTAAACATTGGCTGTTAATATCGTTATTCTCCCATTTCCAACCATTTAAGTATAAAATGTGTTTTACCTCCTTTGGATTGCCTATGCATTGCAAACTCCCATCGACGAAAATTCCTAGACGATCACATAAAACTTCAGCTTCTTCCATTGAATGTGCTGAAACGTAAAACCAAAGACGAAGTATTTTTTTTTGTGACTACATTAGAGGCAGAGAAAGGAGAAAAGAAGCTTAGATGACTCTACTGGTGAGTATTATCGCCCCTTTTCGCTTAGCCCGTTTCACTACGTCCCATAAACTCTTCCTTGATGCTGGATCAAGCCCGGTACTTGGCTCATCCATGTAAACGACCTTGACAAAAAACTTATTACATATAAGAAGTTAGAAATACATATCATAGATCTTTAGATATCAAGAGTGGTTTCAAGTTACTTTGGGGTTCCCTATAAGAGAAATGGCGACGCTGAGACGTCTCTTCATCCCTCCGCTGTATTTGCCAACTTGTTTGTCGCCATTTCCTCCATGAAAAAGGTTGACACTACGAAGCGACTCTTCCACAGCCTAATTAAAGCCAGAGAAAACTCACCGGTTTTTGCTTTTGCACATAAGTCATACACAAATGAACCAAGTTAAAACATAAACTTACTTGTGTTAAGACAAGACCTTTTAGATTCTTGAGCCTTCCATAAAAGAGTAGATGTTCCTTTCCACTCAATTTCTCCCACAAAAGGCTGTGGAAAGTGAAATTAAATGAACTAAGAAACAGTACAACCTCGTAGAAAAGAATCAAACTGAGCTAGAGATTATTTTCATAGATTACTCGTGTTGCGGACAAACTCCAATTGCTGTATATATCTGGTCCATATCGGTTAGTATGTCAAGACCTTGTACAAATGCTGTTCCAGATGATGGTTTAATGATTCCTGTCATCTACACAACATTAGAATACCAAAAAGGTTAACCAGAAGATGCGCGATTGATTCATTGACATGGGATTTTATTAGACAAAAGGGTCAATTGATATAAAATTCATACAGACCATGTTGATAAAAGAAGTTTTTCCAGCTCCATTAGGACCAAGCATGCCAAAGCATTCTCCTTGAGGTAAAGCAAGAGATAATCCTCTTACCGCGAGTTTCTGAGGATTCCCGTCCTTACCCGAGTACACCTTCTTCAGATTATTACATAAAACCGTGCAGATTCCAGTTGATTCGAGTAGACACTGCTCTACTTTCTCCCTCTGACACCAAAAAAAAAAACAATTGCTTACAAATTTTACTCAGCCTTATCAATATTAAAACCTGAACCAGATATTGATTCTCTTTACCTCCTGACACACATCTGGTTTCTCCATTTCGACAACAACTTTGGAAATTTGGCTATGAGAGGAGTGATGTTGTTTCTTCTTTGAAGAGTTTTGCAGGAAAAACAGTGGATGTTTCCTAGAGTAAGTGATTTGATCAATGTAATATGCTGAAACAAGCAGTAACAACCACTCAATGAGCATGATAATAGTCACTTCTTTCATTCCATTCTCAAAATCTCTCCATCTCATTCCATCAACCCCGCGGTAGTCTCCCACAAATGCAGATTGTGATAACTCATATAGCCCGCGGTACAAAGAAAATCCAGGGTACAACTCCATTGCAATGATCCATCCTCCTAGAGAAAACCATACCAAAAATAAACCTGCTTCGATTTGGCTAGCAAAAAGTTTGATTCGGGCGAAAAAACTTACTTGGGAAAAGAGGAACTTCCAAGAAGAATTGGAAAAGAAAGATTCCTAGAAGCCCGGTTCCAAAGACATATATGTATGCTATAACTGAATAATTCAAATGAAATGTAGCAGTTGTGATCATCATTTTTGACGAATCATGAATCAAAACCGGGATGATACTGTACCTGTAGCAGTTTTAACATCTGAAAACATTGCAGAGGCTAAGAAGGCGACTGATATTTGAAGATTTATGCATATCAGGAAGAACACAAGCTGGATACTATAGTCATTAAGTCTGAAGAAGTTTAACCCTGCAGAGAAGTAAAAGCATCAAGAACATACATAGAAAGATTAGTGGTAACAATATTAAGCAAATTAGATAGAGTGTTTGTTATAGTTACCTATGGTTGAACCGAATATCGCGAAGCACAACATGTATAGAATCGAAATGAGAAGAAAGTAGGTGTATGAAACTATCCAGTAAGGAGCATCACCAAGTCCATGCATTTTCATCATCATTCTTAACCTTTGTTGTTTCTCATAGACCAAAGTTGTTAAGATCACCTATAATATGATCCAGATAAAGTTTGCGATGAAAGCCGAGATCATGAGGAACGTTTTAAAATGTTTCACTGAGAGAATCTGAAGACTTACAGGGAATAACAACAGAATGACCCATGTGAAGAAGAGCGGGCCGATTAGAGATGCGATGTCTAGGCTCAGTTTAGTCTCTGGTTTAGGCATTTCTTTCATGTACTCAAAGAGTATCTTTGTCTCAAAACCTTTAAGGAACTCGAGATATGCATTAGATGCCTGTAAAAGTACAAACAAAAAACAAATATGAGCTCAAGACTCTGTAGAATATGGTAACACATGTTTGAGTAAAAGGTTAAACAAAACTTCACCAGATTAACTAAGCGAGGGACTCGAATCAGAGCCATAGGCCGAACCGCTGTATCGTTCTTGTAACTAGAATTGTACCAAACACATACATTGAGATTGTTCCCATTTGTGTTCTGAAAATCAAAAGCTATAAAATGAAAAGTTAAGACACACAACACTATTTTTAAAGAGTACTGGCATGAAATGAGATGATGATGAGAGACCTGCAGCATACTCGTTGATCTTCTCATCCGGATTTCCTTTTCGATAACCCTTGAAAAGGTCCATGTTCACATCGGAAGAACTATTCCGCCACAGATTTAGTCCTTGGACACAGTTTACCTCTAGACTCAAGACAGAAATCCTCTGTTTTAAAAAGCATTCTTGTGATACTATAAGTTTGAAAACTTTTTGTCATACCTTTGGGGAAAACAAGAGGTGATTGGTGAATTAAGATTGAGAAAGAAGAGTTTGGTGAGCATTCATGTTGGATGTTGTAGATGGGAAGATCCGAGATGAAAGCAGAGTCCATATAATTGGTGTATCCAGGTAAAGATGATGAGCCCTGC